GTTTCTAGAAAAGATGGAGTTCTCAATGCATTTGTTATACTCCTAACTCGTTGAATCCAATTCCTATAAAATCTTCTTTAATATGTTTTAATTATATTTCAGATAATTAAAATGAATTTTTAGAACTCTCTGGATATTTTATTTTATTGAAAAAGATTTTTAAATAAGAAAAATCAATTTTCTGAATTTATTAATTCAGAGACGAAAATAAAATATTTAATGAATTTATAAAAATCTTTTTATTATTCTAAAATATAATATAGGGTGTGGGGGCCGATTGGAACTTTGGGCCCACAACAAAAAAGCCCACTAGTTGGGGCGTGGGGCCCACATGGCCCTTAGTGTGTGGGGCACCACACTCCCTTCTTCTTTCCTTTTTGGTGTGGCTTGTGTGCTAAGCCACCTTCTTGATTGAAAAAATAAAGGAAAGTGTTAGGTAGAGAATTTGATTGATTTCAAATAGGAAAGTGTAGGGATTAATTGAAATTGATTTGCAAAAAGATAATATTTTATCTACACAATATTTGATGATAATAAAGTTATGGAAACTGAGAGATAATGGTTTCACCTCATTCCTTTTATTCATGATGGTTGATCTAAAGAATGAATAGATGATATCTCTTCACCCCACAGGTCTCCATGATCAAAGATCAAGATTGAGTCTCATAATGATGGCAAAACCTTAACCCCAAAAGCCCTAGCCTCTATATTATAAATATTCTCCTTGTATCTACACCTTTTGATTAGCCTCTCTCTCTTTCTCTGAACCCTACGGCAGGTACGCCCCTCTCTATCTCTCTCCCTGTCTCTCAACTTAGCTTAGGGTTTAATTGTAGAATGTGGAACCCTAAGAGGGGGGGGATGCCCAAACTAAAAAGGGCCACACCCTAGCCTATGTGCATTGAGCTTTACTCATGTTGAGCCTTGATCAAAGTTCTATCCCATGTGATACTCTCAAGAGGTTTTGCTTAGGCTTCCCGAATTATGCAACAAGGTTGGACTGAGATCTCGTGTGCCATTGGTGGAGACCCAATGTGGGGTGTACGAAGTCTTTGGGGATAACCTGATGCAAGGTATTTGATATTACTCTATTTAATGCTTTCTTGAATTCATCATAGTGTTAAGTAATTTTCAGATTTATTTTATGAATGAGTTTATTCTTTGTGTTTTTTATTGATTCATATATTATATTTGGGCACTCGTAAGTAAACTGGGTGGTCAAAATAAAGAAAAAGAAAGAAAATTTTAAACGGTATACAGTTGCCCATGTCACATAGTCCTACTTTCATGGATAGAATAACAAAACCATAACATGCCCTAAAAGACATTCTCACACATTTTGTTCTGTCGTGCAAACCATAACCACAACAGCAGGGTGTGGATTGCGTGGGGAGCTATTACAATTGAGCTTGATAGCCTGTGATTTGGGGTTGACCATTTATGATGTCATCTTGATGGAGGTGCCGAAATAAGAGTTGTGCCGCTCCCCCAATCAATGATGAAATCCTCCATGTTGGTGTTACAAAGTTCTGGTAATGCTAACCATAAGATATGGAAAAATCTCTATTCTGCTCATTAAGGATGGCATGATGTGTCCTATGACTAGAGGAAATCCAAGCAGTTTGCTCCTTCCGATGGTACATAGTGTTGTCTTTTTTATTTTTTATGGGATATAAGTGCTACAACAAGCAACCCTTTAGTATCGTATGTGGTTCTCAACTTAGGAAGGCATGACTCATTTTGTCCAGATCAAACCTTGAAAATAGCTCCTCTTTGTGGTCCGATGTTGATAGGAAATACTATGGAACTGAAGGACACATTAACAAAGATGATCAATAGTTTAGCTTTGTCCAATGTGGCCAACCACCTAAAAGCCTAGGATGCGTCTATGAGAGCTAGTCGTGGAATGAAGTGAGCAATGGCTGGTACCTTGGAAAGTGCAGTTCTTATCTATCACAGGCATGATCAGATCGACCAAAGCTGCTAGCCTGGCTTCAAATCATTCCTGTTGAATGGTGCATGTTGAATCTATTTCTTCAAGACTGAGGAATACACCATTAATGTTTATTTTTATTCTTTTTCCAGGAAAATGGAAATTTTCTCAAGGGGTTAACTTGGCATCATCATCATCATTTTAGCCTTTTCCCAATTAATTGGGGCCGGCTAAGGGTTAACTTGTATGGAAACAATATAATGGTTGCGAGTTTCTTTTGTCCTCATACCCCCTGCAATACCTTATTATCATGGTATTATCATAACTTTTATGTCGTTTATTATGATCTCGTCTCCTGTACTCTCAAAACAATTTTTTTTTCCCTTGATGTCTTGAAGAGATAATCAGACGTTTGTTCCTTATTTTGTTGGAAACTTTGACCACCTTGTTGAGAAACCTATCAAATTAGCTTTACCTGGAGCAGTTCGTTGGGGCACCTGCCCTTTACTACCCTATGCTTCAATTCTTGTGTTCATGCATGTTACGTAATTGTTTGATTGCATTATAATTACATGACAATACTCACGATCAGAGACCGTTTAAAGGTTAAGGAACACATGTTCCTACATGCCTTCGAGCAGCATTTCTGTTTAAAGCAAACAGGGGAGGCATGAAAAACGAGGAAAAAGGGGAAGGAAAGAGGTGTAGTTTGGTGGAGAAGGGAGGGGAAGATGGTTGGCTTCTTTGGGATGGAAAGCAAGTGTTGTCTCTTTATTCCGTTGTCTATTATGAGTGCCTTAAATTCTGATAAAGCCTCCTTAATCTGAATCATATTTACTGGAATCTCTCACCCTAGGTGGCAATTCCGATTCAAAATCTCAAATACGCGATTCTTTCACTTCATGGAATCCATTTCCTTGAAGTCAGGAATCTTTATTCCATATTTTATGAATCTCGATTCCACTTTTGGAATCTTGGTTCCAATATTTCTTGAATCTCACTTCACGTTTGTTGAATCTCGATTCCTCATTTATGTATCTCGATTCAATTTTTTTTAGAATCCAGGTTCTCTCCATGAGTGTGCTTGTGACGTTAGAGTTTTAGCACTTCTTACACTAAGGCTACAACACTCTGAATTTAAACAAAAAAATTATTAATTTATTTTCTCTCATTAAATTTGAGATTTGAGTTCGATTTGTATTGCATTTCTATTAGTGCTAGAACTGCTGGCCATTTTTCAAAGATAATCAGGCTAATTAAGAAAGAGATTTGACTTCGATTTGTATTGCATTTCTAATAGTGCTAGAACTGGCAGCCATTTTTTAAAGATAATTAGGAAAGAGATTTTGTTTCGACTCGGATTACGACACAAAGCGACACAATGGCACAAACATATTTGCATTTTCAACTACAAAATATGAATTGTGTATGTTTTGTAATCACCATGACAAATTCCCTAGTGTACTGGGTGTCTGTTAATTGTACTTAACCCAAAACCCAAATCTCGACCTAAATTCTGTGCTGTAATTGAGGCTCAATCAAGGGGGAATCCTTGTTCATGTCTTTATGACCTTTGAGGAGCTTGATTCCAATATAAGGGGAACCATGGCTGAGCGTACTCAACGAGTTGATTCCAATATTGAGGGATTCTTACATAAGAGTACTTTAGGACCTTGAACCTTTTGGCCATGAAGTAAATTTTCTGACGATTTCTGATGCAGTTCAAAGTTGTGTGGTGTGCGATCCAATAAACATAGGAATCTCGACTCCAATTGGGTTGAAACTCGATCCCACAGAGATAGGATTTTTTGATTCTATGTAGGTTGAATCTCTTTTTCAAATTGGTATGAATCTCTATTTTAATTGGACTGAAACTCTTTTTCAAAGAGATAGAAGTCTTAATTGTGTTAGGTTGAAATTCAATCCCGATAAGGAATCCTGCAATTTCATGTGCAAACAATGATTCCGACAACAGAGTCTTCCAGCCACCCTACAATTTCGAGATTATGATGCACAAATCGATTGAAATATTAGGCGTTCCAACAACCATGACATGAGTTTCTTTATTTGTGAGTTTCTTTATTTGTGCATCTAGTAGGAGCAGTTGATCCCCAAAGTGCCATGCTCTGTTTATTATCGTTGTTGTTGTTATTGTTGTTATTATTATCATTATATTTATTATATATTGGGAAAATTTGTCAAAATACACTTGTCAACTAGTCATTTTAGTTCAGTTAGAATCCATTGTTATTTAACATTTTACACATTTTCAACTATTCTAACCCATGAACATGTGTATTTTTGATGGGCCTTTCAAAGTTAAATAAGCGATATGGGTAAAATGTTGAATAGTTCATCTCTTAGGTGGATTTTGATAATTTTGATAAACTTCTCTTTTATTCTTCATCCTAGAAATAATTCAATTACACTTAAAATCTTATGAAATGAATATCAATGCTTCAATAATTTCCTTTTTTCTCCTTTTTATTATTTATTTTGATAACTTGATATGTCATTGTCATGGTCTTTATGAGGCTGATTGAGGGAAAGACCTATTAATTGATGCTAAGCCATCCCAGTGGACTTACCCCGCGGCCCCACCGCACCCCACCCTCCCCCCCCCACAAAACAAAAAACCACTCAACAAAAAAGAAAAAGAACAGAAAAAAACAACAAATGCTTAGCCTAATCAAGATCCTTACCCCAATCCTGGGGATTAGCAAATCAACCAATGAAGTGCCATGCTTCCCTCAATGTGGCCTACTTAGAATGTGAAGTTTGGAATATTAGGATCTTGCTTCTCTTTTATTCTTATGCCCTCTTTGTCCTTGAGTGCTCTGCGGCATCATTGTTCACACTTGTGAATCATGGGCTCATGTTTTTATGCCATTGGTTAATGTGTGGGTCAGTGCCGAAGTTCAAAGTTTGATTTTCATTCAAGATATAATTTTTTTGTAGCAAACAGATTTTGGTTTAACATTGAAATTCAACTTCCTTCACTTTTTTATGTGTATAAACTGAAAATGATGGTTATCAGGAAATTAATGCTTAGTTGATATCAGTGCAGATGGTCTTTGCAACTGATTTGCATTCTCGGAGATTTTTGAAACTTCCTACTCCAACTGGAGTTGATTTCCGTGCCTCGTAAGCATTCTTATTTTGTGACCATACATCAGTGTGGCTTCCTTACCTCACCACCACATCTTGTATTGACCTTATATTGTACACTGTTTTCGTAAATTCTTGAAAGTTTTAAATGGAATGAGTTGGTTGATTGTTATTATAATTACTTGTATATTTTGTTCATGAATGCTAGGTAAATATTATTCTATTTGTCACACATCTTCTGTATTTGCAAGAATCTTTTGGGTTTGCTTGGTTCGCATGCATGATTGTGGTTGCTTTGTTGGGTTCAAGGTAGTCATGTGTACTTTATAGAACTCTTTTTTAGAGTATGGCTTGCAGTGATTTTAACATCCCAGTGCTGTCCATAAGTTCTGGTAATTTGATTCTTTACACGCTTTGGCTGCCATTTTGCTTCTCTTCTCCAATTCATGAAACAACTTGATGGCTCTGATTGTGCTTCGATGTACCTAGCATCCTGATTTCTTGATCAAACTGAAATTTTGGAGTAAGGAGAGCCTGTTTAACTAATAGCATTAACTTTTTTGTCTAGCTTGTAGTTGTTGGGATCAAAAGAGCATTGGAAGTGATAAAGGCATCTGGAGCAGAGGGATCCTGGAAGACTAGAAGATCTCTATGGTTGGGAGATGATGTATGTAGAGTGCATATATTGGGGATCGAGATCCCTAAATGTTAGGGATGGTGATCCCAACCTTTTCAGGATCTCGATCCTGACCTTTTGGGATGTTGATCCCAACCTTTGGGATTTTTCTCCTAAGCTTAAAGAGTATATATAGTCTAGGAGTATGCTATAGTTTTCTTACTAGGTTGAAAATCTCATTTCTTTTGCTATCTTGGTGTTTAAGGTGGAGATCAAGCTCCATAATAGTGGGGATCGAGATCCTGGAATTCAAAAATCGAGATCCTTTGAAGATCGCTTTCCTAACGAGGGAATGAGATTTTAGAGGGGGATTGCCACTTAGGTTGGGAGATCCCAACAATTATGGTCTAGTTTCGTCCATTGGCTTGTGATTTTGATGCTCTTGAATTCCTCAACATATTCGTAAGTTATTCAATGCTCCTTGATTGAACTCAGAGGGCCCATGTTTTAAATTCTTATTACTATGGATTGCTCCCCTTCAGATATCAATTTTTGTCTCCCGAAGACAAGAATGTAATTTTTCTAGCAATACTTGTTAAAGTCCTTTACTCTTCTGATACCAAAGCCACTTTTTGTTTTTGAGCTAACACTTTTAGACCGTTTTTCTAAGTGAAACTCGTGTCCCTGAGCACCACCTTGCCTCTAAGACATATCATGAAATGTGTTCGATCTTTGCTCCTTCACTCACCAATTTCTGATGAGGTGGATTGGTGCACACCTAGTAGCTTGAAACTAGGGTTTAGTAAAGAAGAAGATAGGGAAGGTCCAAAATTAGAGAAAGATGAAAAAACCAGAGGTAAAAGGAGCACTTGCTGCTCTAAGGTTCTGAACAAAAGTCCATAACATGATCCTCTATTATGCTTGAGTACATTTCTTATATAAGAAAACCCTAAACAAGACTTAATCCTGGGCATCCATCTAATCTAATTATGGCCATTTATTATAAACTTTAAGTGAATATAAAGACATACTCTAGAAATTACTACTTATTCCCCTAAGTGGATAAAAAGACTCAAATAAGTAAAAGACATAAAAGGATAGACTTAATGACTAATTTTCCCTTATACGGTTCCTCTTGTAAACTTTAAGCTTATCTCTCTTGTTTAGGTACTCGAGAGCAGTATTCTAGGCTACATCAGCTCCCCTTAAAAGAATTTGCCCTCAAATTCAGTGGCTTGTCATTGGAGGTATCACCACGATATGGAATGAGATGCTTGACATTTAAAACATCAGAAGTGCCAATATGGCTAGGAAACTTCAATTTGTAGGCATTGTCATTAATCTTCTGCACCACTTGAGACAGTCCAAACTTTTGTTGGCTCAACTGATGATATTTAGAACAACTTGGTCTCTAGGACATGTAAGATTGAGCATTGAATCCACCAAAAGGAGACTACCAATCTTGCAATGAATTGATGTGAGTGCAATGTTGGTGCAAAGATTACAACCAAACCCACAAGCATAGGCCTTCTTAACTGCTTCCATACTCTCCAGTCGTCCACTACACCATTTTGATGTAACAATACCAGCAAGGCAATATTGAGAAGATCAAAACATTTCATCTCTTGGAAACATTGTAACTCAACCTTAAAGATATGCAATTCAAAATAACTAGAGATCAATGTTTTCTAGGTTATGATGCCTCTCATAGACATCTCATCCATCACGTTTTGTGCATAGTGAAAACTAACACTGCTACGATACAAATGTGCAATGCTATCGCTCATAAACATACCTGAGGAAACTCTTTTCTTAGGATGCAAGAAAAACTTTGTAATCTGATTCTCATTTTTGCTGAATTTGGTGAGGTCGAGATGCAAATGTTAGGCCCCTTAGTTTTAGGGTTTGGGGGAAGATGATAAGGAACAACTTTTATTCTCCCATCAAAGCAGAGCATCCACTCAGCCTGAGTTCTCTCACAGAGAATGACTTTAGCAATCCTTTGGTGAGCATCTCCTATATTGAACTCACCAGCTGAGAGTTTAGGCGAAAATACCTTGAACTCTTTGGTGTGAACATCATGTGACACCCTAAATTCAAGTAAAACTTGAAGAAGAACATCATCATCATCATTGCTTTTGTCTAACACCATTCTCCTTGCTACTTTCTTAGGGAGTAGGGACTAAGAAACCAATTACTTCCAATACTTTTGGAACAACTCCTTGACATCTACCCTGCTATTCATCAAATATAGAAGCACTCACAAAATCCTCTACAATAGCAGGATCTTCTTTTCGATCCTCTTTACAGATTGGAACACCACTAAAGCTTTGATCATGTATTTATTTTTCAATACCCAAATCTTCATCCAGGTACTTGTCAAAGATTGGCGGTAAGTCCCAGTCCATAACGTGTTGATCTTGAGAAGCATGTGGTGAAAACAAAGTTTTTTCATGGTTGTCCTCGAATAGAGTTCCATAACACCTACTTCAATCATCATCTATTTTGTGCTTAGGTCGATGGAATTGTGCATCGAACTCATGACTAGGATCACACCATGAATTTGACCCGTCGGACACCAACTTGGTCACCGACTTATCGGCCTTGATCTCATCCTCCTTAGACAAGGCTTCCATTTGTGCTAAATCCAATGCTAGGGTTTTGACCAATCTTCTCAGATCTGCAATCCTTTCTTGCGAACGAGCATCAAATGCTTCTAAGGTTGCTACTTTTCCTCCTTTTGCTCTGTGCAGAGGCATGGTTGTTGACATAGGGCACAAAAATCTGCGCTACGTTATTGTTCCATAGTACCATTCTTACTAATCGTTGGGCTCTGATACCAACCTGGCACAGACCTAGTAGCTTGAAGCTAGAGTTTAGCGAAAGACGAAGCTAGGGAAGATCAAAATTTAGAGAAAGATTAAAAAATCAGAGGTAAAAGGAGCACTTGCTGCTCCAGGGTTTTGAATAAAATGTTGGCTATATGGCCTTTGAAGGACATAATCATTGTTGTCATCTTCGCTTCGCTTTGGGCGAAACACCCGAAGCCTTCGGGTTTCCCTTCAACTGAAGCAAACGGAATACTCTTCGATATTCTTCTTTTACTTGCTACTTTTTTAAACTTTCAATAAACAAAAGGAGGTGTAACTATTGAATGCCACGTAAAAAAGGGAAATGCCACCTTATGGATTTTGACAAGCCTTAAAACAAAAGTAAAAGAATATTGATATTTTGGATTTAAAATAATTATTCAAGTACTTTTATGCTCCTAATTCTAAGGGCATTAAAAAAGTAACTTTAAAATTAGTAGTAAAAAAAAAATTTCAACTATTTTATTTATTATTAAATGTGGTAATAAATTTATATATTATTAATTTTTTACTTTTATATTATTTATGAAATTAAAAAAATAGATTTTTATGTATTATAAAATAAATAAATAAGAACCAAACTCTTCCCCTCGAATCAACCGAAGCACCGAATTGCTTCATTTTTTTAGACCAAATCGAAGTAGGCTCCGAAGCGAATATGACAACATTGGTCTTATGCCAAGAGTCTTTCGCTTAGTGGGAGTGAGTGAGAGAGAAATAATCTGGGTGCTTAGCGAACTGGGGCTTAGATTCTCATACCCCGAGTACATGAGGCAATGAGAGCATGTGTTTTGAGAGAGCAATCTCTCGAGTAAGTATGAGGGTAACCTTCAAGCCAGGGCTTGGAGAATCCAATCGAGTATAATAGAACCTGAGTATTTGTTTGAGGAATCGCCTTGTATAAACTGACCATGACTTATGGGACATGAGTTCGTAGACCATTCCATGGCATGTGTATTTATAGTTGTATGGGAAGCCACTTTTCTATAGTATAATCCGACTTAGAAGAGCTAGTGCGCATGTGCTTTGAGAGCACCCCTGAATTAGAGTAGTAATGTGTCCCACAGGGGTGCACTTGTAATCCATTGAGAAATCGATGATGGGAAGCTCTGGCTTGGTGACTTTGATGTGACCAATTATGTATCCCTGCCATAGATTGTGGAACATAGGTCCATTGGGTTAGCTCGAGACATTGGTGGAGCATCATTAGGGACTAGCCCAATGGAGTACTCCGTTTACGATTGTTGAGCCTTGATATCATTGACTTCTTGTCCAAATTTAATTATGATGAAAAATGTTGTGTTAATGATCAAATAACATTTATTAATTTATTGGAAAATTTTGATAATTTTTTGGAATTTTTGGAACACCAAAATAGCCTTTTACAAAATTGTTTATCACTAATTCTATTTGAGGACATCCATGATGGATGCCATGTGACACGCAAGTAGCCATAAGGTGGCCACGTGGCACCCCATGGCCCCACATGCAGTTGACGTTAGCTGTGCTATGTTTTCTGGGAGTGGGGTCCTTTATGGCATTAGTTGATTTGTTTTGTTATATTGTGCCATGTGACATAATGGTTCACATTGTTATATTATGTTATAACTTAAGTGATTAATTTAGTCACATGTCTATTTGCTCCCACATGTGACTTGCTTGGCATGTGTGAAACCAAAGCTCTTTTGTAAAATAAATCGATTTTGAAAAACAATGAGACCATTTATCTTTGATACAAGGAGGTTACAATTAGTTACAACCATCTAATGTGAAATCTGATAGCTTGGGTGTGTCAAAGTTCGAGAAAATTTCTTTTGAAGTTTGAGTTTGGTCAATGAAATAAATGCAACTATCAAATTTCACATCCAATGGTCAAGATTATTTGTGACCACCTTGCATTAAAGATAAATGGTCTCATTGTATATATTTCTTTAAAAAAAATGTTTTTCCACATGGGATTCTCCACATGTGTGCCTGGACCGTATGGACACACCCCATTGGTCTGGTCCATGTGAAGAGGACGGTATATCTGAATTTGATTGGCTTTTTGTTATAGATATTTGTTCACACATGTGGCATGTGCCAATTACCAAATTGGACATGCCCTTGCCCATGAAGTGAACTAATCAATTAATTTAAAACCATGAGCTATTGTGTAAACTCTACTTTGGACTCGAAGGGAAATAAAACATGGAGCAAGGACAAGATGGTAAATGGCTCACATGAGGGTTTAAAAGGAAGGACCATGGTTTTGAATCTCATACCTACCTCTTGGTGGTTAGATGAGGATGAGTGGTTAGGATTATGGACTCTCATGTGCCATAAATCTAAAACATCAAGGGTCAAGATCAAATCACTATTCACCATTTTATATAAATATCACTCAAAGCTCAAACCTAACCTAATCAATTATCACTTTTCAAACTTGAGAGAGAAAATAAAGTGCCCTCTAGCCTCCAATGAAATTCCCATTTTGAGATCACCCCTTTTGCCTTGAGCTTTGAACCCATAAGTCCCATGGTGTACACGTTTTCCTTGCATGAGCAAGAGGGTTCTTGTCATCAATCAAGGTGATCATTTTAATTAAGTTTGATTCTCTTTCCACTATCTTTAGTTGATGAAAGCCTGCTGGAAATCACAGTTTACAGAAGTTTATAGAATCATTGAGCATTAATTTCCATTAATCCATGTTTTTAGATTGCATAGTGCGGTCCTCCTTTCTTTCTGTGTAGTGTAGTTTGATCCTTCACCTATTTACACATCTACTACACTATTTTGTTTACCCGAATTTTCCAGATTGCATACCTCAGTTCTTTAATCTGATTTGAGTTTCAAATATCATCCTTGAGTTAGAAAATAGTGTTCGAAATTGCCTAGATATCATTGAGAAAAGATTTGGTGGTCCGGTGGACCGCATTGTGTAGTTTTCTCCTACATTACTTGTTTTGAGCTAGATCTCTCTAATAGTTTGGATATCCAACCTCAAGGTTATTTTTCTCTCAAATTGAACTTTGATTAGTGTTATTAAAGTGATTAAAATGCTTCCTATGTGATTGATCTCCTTGAGTTTCAAACCAAACCATCCTTGTTCTAGACTATGGGACAACATTAAATCCCCAAAATGTCCGAATTGTGACCCAAAATGTCAGATTAATTCTGTTTTGTTTACAAGAACACCCTAGACCTCTAATCACAACATAAAAGTCCATAACATGATCCTCCATTATGTTTGAGTACATCTCTTATATAAGAAAACCTTAAACATGACTTAATCCAAGGCATCCATCTAATCTAATTATGGCCGTTTATTATAGAAGACTTTAAGTGAATAAAAAGGCAAAGGAATCTATAAATTACTACTTTTGCCCCTAAGTGAATAAAAAGACTCCATAAATTAGTAAAAGACATAGAAGAATGGACTCAGGGACTAATTTGCCCTTCTATGGTTCCTCTTGTAAACTTTAGACTTATCTCTCTTGTCTAGATACTCAAGAGCAGTATTCTAGGCTGCATCATGGATGCACTATGATAGTGGAGCAAGGTGCTCTGGGGCTCTCTCCTCTTCAAAAGACCTAAGTATTGGATCTGAGAAACCTTTAGCTAAAGTGGGTAACAAAAACTTGTTTCTAGTTGGGGAAACTCAACCGAGTCAACTCTATTCTTTTGATAGTCGAGTTTTATAACCGAAAAACTCAGCATGTGTCAGTATGTTTCTTTGCATATACTTTTCTATTTAATCTAAATACTTGCCAGTGGCAATATTGTATTAGATGTGGAAGTATTGTGGTATGACTCAATTGAACAGCTTGGTATGGTTCGTTCTAAAACCACATTGCTTTCTTCTCTACATTCTTACTTAGAAAATTGACGAGGTCGCTGCATCTTCCCTAGTTAAGCATTGGACTCAGTGAAGTTGACTGTTTTGGCAGTGATTGAGTCGGCCACTGAGATTGAGTTCTTAAATATTGCTCTAAAGATAAAGAAACAAACATAGGATGAGTGCATGAAAATTATCCCCCCTTACTCCAGCATGTGTTCTAGAGACTCAGTGATGATTTTCCACATGGACCCTGACGTTTGAATGTTTCCTAAGATCAATAATAAGTCCAAACACCATTTTCTAGCACAAAATAAACTGGAGGATACTGATAGGTGTCACATACACACACATGTTGTCGACGAAACAAAAAATGGAGATTGTGCAGCCTCAATGTACCACCCTAAAGCCACATGGTAGTGAGGAGTTTTGAAGGCTTTTGGAGCTCCGAAAGAAGCCATAGAAAGAGTGTTGACCCAGTTGGACTTTACAACCTTGTTAGAAGGTTTATGCAAATCATGGACTGGAAAGCTAAACTTGGAGGAAAAAGCAAGGACTTGTGCGCTTTTCCTTCATAAGTGAATATTGCTTGAGCTGGAGTTTTAAGGGAGTGATTCGTTTTTGCTAGGGGTACAAGTGGGAGCTTCTAGTTTTTTATACTTAATGTAGACTTATGTTTTTTACATAGGAAACTCTTTTTCCATCGACGGATATTACACATCTTTGGGAAGATGAAAATAAAAGAAAAATTTGCTCTCTCCATTGTTTATTGCTTTCTGTGTATCATCTAGCCATATTAATTCTTGAAACTGAAATGAAACAAGAGGTGGTGTGTTAACTGATTCTTCTAAATACCATAAATATTACATCTGCATGAGTAGTTTTTTTCAGAGTTTTTCGAGGCATTCTTCCAAATATTTTGGCTTTATGTTTTCTGGAGAACTGTATTGTCGATTGTTGGTGTATCAAGTGTCATCGTCATTTTGGCTTCTATGGATGGCAAGATTAATAAGTTTTTGTTAATCAAGTTACATGAACTGTCTATTTGTCATGTTCAATTCGAATAGTCAACAATTTATAAGGTTGAATTCTGTGCAAAATGATATTGTTGAGGTTGATCATTGAGAAGTTTTCTGCTTCGTGGGCTATAGCTTTACAATTTGGTAAATTTCAGGACACTATTTGTACACCTTCCCACTATAGAATTTGTTGCTAGTTGTTACTCTTGAAGGAACTTTGATACTCATTGTAGACACGTGTGCTGTGGATGGCTATTTTATTGCAACATCACAGCCATCTGTGTAATGTTGATGAACGTATTGTCCTCAAAATTCATTTGCATTATGTTTTGGATACTTTTTATGATGTTAATAGTTCGGCGTATGGGTACATATTTTACACAATAGCTGCATGTATTTTTTTCTTTTATGTTTGTCAATCTGAAGTTCTGAGTGACTGATTTGAGAGTTATTTGGACGTGCAGATGTTTTTGTCATAAGGAGCCAATTGGCATGGGCTATGTATGTTCAGTTTGCTTGTCGATATTCTGCAAGTATCATACGAAATGCTCAACTTGTGGGTGAGTTCTATAAGCTTTTCTATTCTTCATTCTTGCATAATATAGTCATGGGATCTTTCATTGTAATACAAGTCAAAGGCATGAAACTTTGTATGTGTACTAATTGAATTTTGAATTATGGTTTCCTTTCCCACTACCAACCATCCCGGCCCGGTTGTCCCGACCTTTCCTCTCCCATCGCTCAGTCCTTATCAAAAGCCCCGGGCAAATTCATCCCCAGGCCCCTTCCGACTCTGCCCTCCCGACTCTGCCCCCCCGGTCCACCATGGTTATCCGAATCTTCCGCCCGAGGTAGCGGTTGCCTCTAGAGTCTCGCTCCAGCATTTCAGACAAGGGATCTCACGGAGTCTCATTTCCTTAATTTAGGATTCTCACCCTTCACTATTTAGGAATCTTGATATTGAGTTATTTAGAATCCAAATCATGGAGCCATGATTCAATCAACATGGGATGGGAGTTTTGGTATATGGAATCGAAATTCAGATGCAAACATTTAGAGTTATAGAATGATTGTTGCATAAAAGGTTTATAGAATGGTACAACTTTATTGTTACATGAATTAAGGGTTATAGAATGATTGCAATGATATTATGGAATGCTCAGGTTTTCAAAATTTTGTTTGAAACATTCTGTTCTTTAAAATTTATTATGAAATTGATACAAATATTGTAGTTTCTTTTTCTTCAATGGAGAAGGATGTGTGACTAGCAACTGTACTAAACCTTGATCCTGAATTCCTGATAATGGGGGAACCCAAAATAAATATCTTATGTTTTAGAGTTTATTATTTGTTAATCAAGTAATTGTACTTTCTTTATTCAATGAATAAGGATTGCATGTCTAGACACCCTAGTCAACCTTGATTCTAATGTGAGGTAACCTGCATTAGTGGCACTCGAGGACCTTGATTCCAATACTATTGAGGAACCCTGATTAAGGGCACTTAATAAATCGATTGAAATATCAGGGGAGCCCTTGTTTAGGGCAGAGGCGTTACATATTTTTCTCTCTCTCTAAAAACACAAATGTCCCGACACCTTTCACTCTTACCCTCACAAAATACACACATGATATTGTTTACCCATATCACAAAGATCTAAAAAAAAAAAAACCCATACCAGAGCCATTATGGATTTTTATCTCTCTAAAAACACCAATGTCTAGAAACCTTTTACTCTCGCTCTCATAAAATACACACATGATATTGTTTACCCAAAACACACACCCACAATAGCTCTTTCTAAAATCATAAATTTTAATCCATACTAACTGTGAGAGACACTACACGTACCTTGTTGATGTATTGTAGCTGTTGCTTTGGCCGCGACTCCTTTGTGAATCTCCCATAATTTGTGATGGTGTGAGAAAGGGAAGGAGATGGTGGGTGAGATTTGGAATAAAATGAGGGAGGTAGGGACCGGGGGGGGGGGTGACGGGAAGAGGGGAAATGGAGGCTCTTTCACGGTTTACGCAAAGCAGAGCATGAGGAAGGGGAGACAATAGATATGGTGGTTTCTTTGAGAGGTAAAGGGGGATGCATGAAGAAATTGGGGCAGTGTATTTTATATAGAGGGAGAAGGTAGAGAGTGTTTGTTAGTGGCGTTATTCCCTTAGGGCCTGTTTCATAATTGGAAGGTAAATGTTCCTCGAAAATTGGAAGTTCTTCTTTGCTGAGAAAAAAGAAGTTACTGTAACAAGTTTTAGGTTTCTGTATTTGATAATCTACTGGAATGTTAAAGAAGTTCTAAGTACCTGTGTTTGATAACATGCTGAAAGATTAGCAAGTGATAGTGAAAATTGCAAAATGTAGAGCACAAGTTTGCCATAACATTCATTCAAGCCCTAAAATGACAATAGAGAGTAAATGAAAGACTCCCTACAAAATAAAAAACAAATTCTTCAATAAATATTATGCCATGAACTATCCATTCCTTCAGTTGTCAAAAGCAAATCAAATATACCAAATTTCGACAAAGAAACAACCTAGAGCAAAACAGATGATATAGGTTGTGATGAATAGAATCACTTATACCAATGAACTTTCTAAATTAGAAAGAATCCAAAGGACTACATTTTCTTGTTGAGAAGGCCTTTACAACAAAAAAATAAAAATCCAAATCAGATTGTGGCAATTTCTATGCAGTAATTAGAAAGAATCATACACACAATTAAAATTGCATGTTTAGTACATCCAACAAGGGATTGAAAAGCAACATTGCTTAGGCATCCATTCAAATATTCAAAAAAAGACTTAACAATTTCATTTAAAAATCCACATTTTTATAAGAAAACAATCTCATAGCCATGTAACAATTCGGGCTTTTCGGGCCTCGGCCCGGGCCCGGTCCATTGGCATTCCTACTTACAATCCTAGAAGTTCAAGACTCATTCATAGCATTAAAATCTAATAACTCTCAAATTGGTACTCTATTTTCAGAACTCAAAAAAAAAAACAAACAAAAGAAAACAAAATAGATAGAGATAATGAAAAGAAAATCAGAAAATGCAATATACGTCATTAATTTAATCTTTGAAACCCTGCAAGATAGAGCACACTCCCAAATCAATGATTTTAATAATTTTCAACATTCTAGTTTTATTGTCCATGAAAGAACCCCTAAAATGCCCAATAAAAGAAAACCAGAAAAGTATTCTACCATATCGCTCTACAGAACTTTAAAATCAGAAGATGCTCCTTTTCTCCATTAATAATTTAATTTTTGAAACCCTACAAGATAAAGCACACCCAAAACTAATACTTCTAATAATTTTCAACATTCTGGTTTTATTGTCCACAAAAGAACCCCTAAAATGCCCAATAATGAACTTTCTGAATATGAAAGGAAATTTTAGGGGAAAAAGGAAGGTACTTGATGAAGAGGGCTATGAGAGAGAGGGATAAAGTGAGATAGGAGAGAGAGAGAGAGAGAGAGAGAGAGAGAGAGTACGTACGTAGTAGTAGG